ATGGCTAGTGCAGATAGCCCTCGTGTAGCTTTTCGTGTAATTCAAAACAAACATACAGTTTTCAATTCTAAGTAAATGTAAAGAACACTAACATAATAAAATATTAATTTCTAATTTACAGAGGCGATTAGTTGTAACTTTGAGAGTTCTAATTGTGTGAATAATTTACATTGTAAACAAGAACCATTACAGCTTTACAATTCTAAGTTTTTAATTGTTGTGTTTTTACTTGTTTAAGAAGCTTTATATATGTGCATCTTGTACCTTTTTTTTTCCATAGTAACCAAAGTTGTACATAATTATACATTTTTCAGTGCCATTGCTGGCTGTGGCAAGGGATACGGGGCAAATACAGCTGTTTGTTCAAGATAGCAAAGGATTATTTTCTTGTGTACATTCACTGGTTGGTCATGAAGACTGGGTTAGGGGTCTAGATTTCTGCATCGATGGTAAGGTGCTTTAAATTTTAAGTTACTGAGTTATCAAATAATCTTGGGAAATACCAAGTATTTTTCTCTTTTACTAGACTAGAATGAAAATGGTCTAAGCTGATGTAAAGTAACAGTTTTAAGAAAAGATTGACTATAAAACTGATTTTTTGATCTAGTTAATGTAACATATATTTGTCACTCACCAATATTGTTATTGCAGTATTTAGGCAGATTTCAATTGATCATTATTTTTTGTAAATTCTCCAAATGCTCCATGTCTTCTTCTGTTACTTTGTACCGTTCATCAGTATATGTCTCTGGTGATAACAACAGAACTTTGTTGTTGTGGTGGTGGTTCTGCTAGTTGTGATTGAGAAGATGGTGATTAAATCAATTCACTAGAACCCTTTGAACATGTTGTGGTGGTGGTGGTTCTGCTAGTTGAGATTGAAAAGATGGTGATTAAATCAATTCACTAGAACCTTTTGAACTTTGTTGTGGAGGTGGTGGTTCTGCTAGTTGAGATTGAAAAGATGGTGATTAAATAACCAGAACCACCACCACCACAACAAAGTTCAAAGGGTTCTAGTGAAGCTAGTTGTGATTGAGAAGATGGTGATTAAATAACTTCACTAGAACCCTTTGAACTTTGTTGTGGTGGTGGTGGTGGTTCTGCTAGTTGAGATTGAAAAGATGGTGATTAAATCAATTCACTAGAACCTTTTGAACTTTGTTGTGGTGGTGGTGGTTCTGCTAGTTGAGATTGAAAAGATGGTGATTAAATCAATTCACTAGAACCTTTTGAACTTTGTTGTGGAGGTGGTGGTTCTGCTAGTGGTGATTGAGAAGATGGTGATTAAATAACTTCACTAGAACCCTTTGAACTTTGTTGTGGTGGTTCTGCTAGTTGAGATTGAGAAGATGGTGATTTGAACTTTTTTATCTATGGCAAATGGTATTGTGTGAAGAGTTAGATAATTTTTTGTCATAGCAGTCGTTTGAATTTTCTAAAAGCTGTATGTTTTGTTTATGGAATGTAACAAGCTGTTTTTCTGACAAACCTTATGGAGACCAGTAATCCTTCAAATTAACAAAATTTGGTAACTTAAGTTTCTCCATACCTCAAACTCAAAGCTCAAAGTGTGGTATGTAATTAACTCAAAGTGTGGTATGTAATTAACTCAAAGTGTGGTATATAGTTAATTCAAAGTGTGGTATGTAATTAACTCAAAGTGTAGTATGTAATTAACTCAAAGTGTAGTATGTAATTAACTCAAAGTGTGGTATGTAATTAACTCAAAGTGTAGTATGTAATTAACTCAAAGTGTGGTATATAGTTAATTCAAAGTGTGGTATGTAATTAACTCAAAGTGTGGTATATAGTTAACTCAAAGTGTGGTATGTGATTAACTTATAAGAAGAACTACCTTTTCAGAAATAAATAAAATAGCATGTGACTTTTCATATTTCTTATAACATATGATGGTAATATATTTTTGTCACAACAAACGATACTTATTATTTGTTTCAAGGGGTAATAATGTAGTTAAAATACTTTGAAACTGAAAGAAACATTTTGAATACTGATAAAGTAGATATGTTACCAGGGAACGTTTTGTAACTATGCAGTTACATAGTTTAGGTTTCCTTTCTAGAAATGGGTGACCTCCTTCTATCATCCTGTTCACAAGATTGCTTTCTTAGAATATGGAGAATATCTCCAAGACAACCTGGTTTTCAAGATGTTCCTCCTGCCAATACTTTACAAGGAGGGCAGGAAATAAAACTGAAGGAAAACTTGCTATGGGCTTATGGTGCAGGTGGGTACTTGTCTCAGAAGAAATTAAAAAATAATTTATCTCAGTGCTTATGATTGGATATCATCCTAAACACTGACACCTTTATTAACCCTTTCTACACGGGTCAAAGGTCATGTCATCGCATTTGTTGACTCGCGTTGAAAATGTTATTGAACTACTATTTTATGAATTTATGTCAATAAGTTTGGTATCAAACTGTAGATTATAATTCAAATTTTAACATTATACATTATTCAATTTCTTAATTTATAAGTAGATATT